CAGCCTTAGCCCAACCATCAAACTAGGTGGTTCTTCTGGTGGCTTTTGACCTATTTCCTTTCATATTAATTCCTTAAAAATTCATGCATTTCTGAAACCAGCAGGCAAGGGGACCATCTGTGAGGAGGAGGGCAGCGCTCTGAAAGGCAAAGGCCCGTCTACTGTGAATAAGCTCGTCATCTTCATACGCTGTTTAAAATGCCTGGAGAAGGTGGAAATGACTCACCTCATCAGTGCCAAGTCCAGGGAACGCTCTGCCCTGTGGGTACCAACCCTGGATCCTCTAGGGGCCACGCCGAGCTGGAAGTGCCAGCATGCAGGCCCCAGGCAGCCCTCAGTTCCGTCTGCCAGGAACAGCGTGACCGGCTCTGCTGAAAAGATCTTGACAGCACCAGCAGGATGGCTCAAGCAGAAGGTTCAGAACCCAACTGCTTGGATGTGGGAAGTGGTTAGAGGTGTTCTCAGACCTCAGAGAGGAAGGAGAGATTCCCCACCACCCCCAAGCTAGACAGAGGGAGAGAGGGACTGGTCAGCCCCACCAAGTTTCCCGTTTACAGGCCGCACGGCGTTCCTGGCCCGTGTGGCCCGTGTCCCTTGACTTGAAAAGCTTGCGTGTGTGTAAGCTCACCTAGACAAGGATCTCCAAGACCGGGACGTTGCCCGTTTCCTAGGGTCTTCCAGGTGGCCCAGGGAGCGGTTTCATTCAGCTTCTGAGTCAGAGCCAAGATCTGTTTGCCTTCTGCGGCTGCTGGGCTTGGTTTTGGTTCCAGAGGGAGATCAGATAGTTTGGACACCTCCGGAGGACTGGACCAGGCTGCGAAAGCAGGAGCTCCCTGGGTGAAAATCAAGGCGGTTTCTGTGCGGCTTTACCAGGTGTCTGTGTAGAGCCGCCCCAGCAGGGTGGTGGGATGATGAAGCGAGCACACGAGGAGCCTGGCTCGGGAGCGGGGGTACACCAGTGGGGCAAACAAGCGAGCATCGGGAGAACCGCGAGTGTTTTCCTTCAGGGAGAAGGTCTGGCCCATTTCATGAACACCTGAAAAGTAACTTTTCCCTAAATTAATGGTACTGTGGAACAGGAAAGAGAAAGGAGTCAACCAGGAGACCGGAGCTCTGGCTTTACACTGCTGTGTGGCCTTGAATAAGCCACTGACCACCCCTGAATCACATGCTAAAGGGATCCCCACTCTGAGCTCCGAACCCTCTGTTTTAGGCATCATTTGGCTTTACTGCCACAAGGACATTGTACTCTACCTTTTAGAGGCCTCTTTCTCCCCCGTTTCCCCCAATCTGGGTTATTTTATAGGCGATGTAGGTCTGAATCAATTGCTCCCAAGTGAGTCTGTAAGCTTAGGTAATATGGGGGTTTTCTCCCTCTTCTCTTGTACAGAATCTGGGACATTGTGCCTCTTCCTGGAATCCTGTTCTACCTTCACGGGGACAGGCCGGAAGAAATGTACAGAAACATCTGTGCAACCCTGGCTTCCTCTCCCGAGCTTACTTGCTCTGGGCAGAAGTGGCTTTAGCTTCATCTCGCTTTCACAAGGACCCACTTGTCTCTAGAGGTTTACAGACACTTCAGCTTGTAAGATACTACATTTTTGCCGAACTTGAGCAGACAATGAGAGGTATTTTCCCCAAATTCCTATGAGACACTGAGCCGTTCTGAACTCTCCCAGTGGGCAGTTTCTTTAAATGCCACCGGATTCTCAGATCAGTCATGGGATTACTTTTCCACTTGGGCAGGCAAAAGCTGTGGCATTATTATAATACTTCATTGTAAAGTTTTTAGCTTTTAAGATTTACCTTTGAAGCCTTTTCTTTCATCGAGGCAGTGAAGTGTTAGCAGAGGTCACGGTGCAAGTGTGGCTGTTCTGGGGCTCTGTGGAGACACCAAACAGAAGCATCTCAACCGTTCGGGATGGAAGTCCATCCGGTGATGTCTGTCAGTATTGGGGCCTATTAACTTTGTAAATCTAAAGTAAATTCCTTTCTGCTTTCCCGACTCAGAATTGGTTTGCTCAAAATGCCAAGTGACAGGAATCGTCAGTCAGAGATTCCTTAACAGAGCTTGTGCCACAGGGAGGCCCCGTGAGACTCACGGAAGGAGATGCTTTTGATGAACTGTTTGCCATTTCTCGACTTCTGAGGCCTCGCTGGGCGGCTCACTTAGTTGGGCAGGTCAGCCGCTGTCGGGGATTGTGGCTGTGCCTCCATCTCTTGGCACATCACGTGGTAACCTGGTACGGGGAGGAAATGCCTGAAGCCACTGGGGGCCAGGAGCCTCTGATCCCACTCTGACGGGGCGGGGGGTGGGGGGGAGTCGAGCTCACTTTCTCACCAGACTGGGGCACCATTTCAGCCACTGGTCACATTCCTCGCTTCAGACCGAAACTCAGTTTAGCTCTGAGTATACAGACACGTGGTGGTGGATTCATCTAACTTCAGTGTTTGACCAAAAGTTTATTTTTCTAGTGCATTTTCTAAGTCAAAGTGGTGAAAACATGTAATTTTAGTATGCATGACTGGGTCTTAATAAAAATCCCTGTAAGGTTATGTGTGGAGTCCTTCTGTGACAGTGACAGTTTGGATCAAGGTTCTGAAGTTTTATTATTCACGGTACATGAAGGCCGGGTAGAGCGTCACTCCAGGTCAGGCAGGGAGAGGCCCCGTGCACCTGTGGCCTGGGCTGGCCGCCTCTGAGGACCACACACCGTTAGAAGATGCCAGCGTATACAAAGAAGAGCAACGGGTCTACACAGCGGTAGAGACGACAGGCACATTTTTCAGTTCTTGAGGCCCAGCTGTCCCTTCTAGACTGGTCTAGGATCCTTCACAGCGAACAACTCCCAGGGGCGTTTAAGGGCTAGGCGTCCATTATGTAGTGTTTCATGTAGAGAACCTCGTTTCATCTTAAATGGCATTACTGCCCCCTGCAGGGGAAATGAGATCCGGAGAAGCTCAGCAGCTCACCCAAGGTCACGTGCGGAGCTGGGCTCCAAAGCCAAGTAGTCAGACTCTAGCCCGACTTCTCCTGATGGTTAGAGCCAGGCTGTTTGCCTTTAACTGTCATTCACCCTCCGACAGACCACAGAAAGAAAGAAGGGAAGAATATTTTTTTTTAAAGGGCAACAGTCTAAAAATTAGATCGTTTCCTAGCTTCGTATAAAATATAAAGCAGAGGTTCTTAACCTCTGAGAACATTTTATTCTGGAAACACTTAAAAGGAAACCAGACTCCCGGGGGATGACTGGGTCTGGCTTGATCCGCTCTGGTCCCACACATGCTTGGCTGTTCCTCTACCTGCTCCCTGCTGGTTTCTGTACAGGAGCGTGTGGTCTCCCCATAGGAGGCACAAGCTAGGCGCCATGGTGGGTCTGGCGTGTTGGTGGTGGGTCAGCTGAGGTCTCATGCAGGACGTCCATACACTTACCGCTGACCTCTGACGATGTGGCAGGTAAGTCCTTACACTGCGACACGCCAGCTCTTCAGCTCAGCCTTCCCGAGGAAGCTGCAGCCCTAAACTCAGTCCATTTCCACATCTGGGGAAACGGACTACTGGCTCCGACCAGCGCAGCAGAGTCACAAGGATCAGCAAATGCTTTTGTTTACAAGCCGTGGGAGGTATTTCCCATGTTATGAGTCCACGCTCTCTGGTCTGTTTTCTGAAACACCTGTTTTCCCCAATGCCCTCTCCTCACACGGCACTGGGCCAGCACGCCTGTACCTGATGCAGCACACGCGTCCTGCCACTGCATTCGAAGATGGTGAGGAAGAAAATCCTTTACGGTTGCCACTTTTCTGGAAACACACCGTTTTAACCAAATATTCCACCTCTTACCTAATAAGGTGCCAGCCATTAGATAAAGTGACCTAGTCGTTACTGCCTTCAGGGGGATTGCTTATCCTCCCTCGTTGCTGAGGGGTAGTCTGACAGCTCGTGCCTATAACCTTATGCCAAGAGACAATGGAGTCTAACTGAAAAGGGAACTCTCAAAGGCCTGGTTTATTTCTCTGTTTTGCCTCTTACTGAGTAACTACAGGCAAGTTCCTGACTCCTCTAAGCTTTAGTCTGATCTGTCAAAGGGGGAGAAGCTGCCCCACCTTCTGGGGCATGGAGAGCGTCTAGGCACAGCTGGGCACACGCACTGTCTCATGTTGCTATTCTTCACCTGAGGAGGTCGCGTGCAGCTCAGGTCACTCAGCAGTGATTAGGACGCCACTGGGAAGGCTGCCTGATTTGGGCTCCTAGGTAACCGGATGGACAGAACAACAAGAAAGGATAAAAGAAAGGAGCAGCAGCTCTCATTGATAAGCCTGGCGCCCATTATCAATTTGTAGAGCTTGAACCGTGACTCATGTAACAACACTCTCACTTGGATGCATAAAAAGGAAAAGGACTTGTAATGGACAAAAACACGTGCTGGTGTACAGCTTTGTCCAGAACATCAATAGCAGCGATAAACAGGTCCACAGCCATTCTTTGGCAGGATCCTTGATGGATAAGAGAAGCTTTTATTTCCCAACCAAGTACTTTACAAGACCAGTCTAGAGAGTAAACATCTGGCAGGGGCCACATGGGCCTACAAGCCTTCTCCCAGCTGGCTCCAACCAGGTAAACGTAGCAGCCATTGCTGTTGCCTCTGATGAATTCCTAGACCGTATCACTAACCTCAAAACCAGGCTGTCAATCTGCAATCCTGAGGGACAGACAGGCCCATTCCTGGTGATGAAACACCAGATGACTTATCTGGAATGAGAGGACACCACAAGGTCTGATGAGTCAAGATACTCTCCTGGTCGACCTGCTGATGTTACCTGTGTGTATACTCATGAGTAATTCAGCACTCCTGAGTATGGTTCCCTTGAGTCTTGAGTAATCCTGGGTTTCCTAGCAACAGACCAACTTAACTTAGAATACAGTCCAGCAAACAGGGATACTGTCCCCTAATTTTCACAAAGAAATTTTGTTATTTCAAATTAATATCAAAAGTTATCATGAGAAAAAAATACTTTATTGGACTTTGTTACACTTATTTTACAGTTTAGTATTGCTTTATTTTGCATTATGTAAAGTAGGGGATGGAAAACCCTTATTGTTTCTGAAGTTTACGGCCTTTACAGGTCTTAATCTGGCTACCCTGCCATTAAGGAAAGTGGCGGGGGGTATCTGCTTTACGCTGGCAAAGTAAGGGGCTAAGCCTCTCCTATCTGCACCACGGCCCACCTCCCCTGCAACTTTATCTCTGTACCCTGACATAAAGCACTGGTTTAAAACAGGTGGTTCCAATGATTCGTATCAAGCCCTGCTTCCCTACCCCACCCACCTCCATCCCAACTGAGACTGTCCCCTCTGTGTCCCATCTCTTTAATTCTGTATGAACACCTCAAATCTAGCCTCCATCCGACTGTGGCTGAACATCTCTGACCTTTGAATACTGTCTAGTGTCATTTTAACCCACAGTGAAATTAGCAGCTGCCACCAGAGTGTTTAAAAATGGGTTAAGCACTTTGCAAAGTAACTTAACTCTTTAAACAATAACATGTACTAGGTACTAACTTTTATTCAAACAAGGCAAACACTGAGGCTCAGACAGATGGTCACACAATCATTTGCCCAAGATCATAAGGCATAGTATGTACTCAATAAATATTAGCCGACCAGTTAACAGACAGAAACAGCAATGCTGGCTACAAACCGGGTCTGGCTTCCAAGACCATGTTCTCAGCCATTCTTAAGGGACCAACTCCATCCTTCTGGCACAATGTGTTTCTCTTTCTGTCTCTCACCATATAAACGGAAGCCCCATCAACTCAGGTGATTAAACCAGCATCACTCAGGAATTGGCCTCTCCTCTACAGCTAATCAATTGCCAGTTTTTAAATTTTAATTACTAAGTAGCTCTCAGCTGTCAGTTTCTCCCCATCCTCACTTCCACTTCTCTGTTTGAAGCGGGGTATGGCCTGCCCTGGTCTCCTCTCTCAACGCCCTCTCTCCGTGTCTGCTGCAGTGACTGAAGACCGTGTGTTCACGTCACCATCAATATGCTCCCTGCTGCTCTCAACTAAGGTTCAAACTCTTCGCTGTGGTTTGCAAAGCCCTTCATGACCCGGTCCTGCCCTCTTCTCCCTATTCCAGCTTTCCTGAACAAGTCTGCATCCCCTTGCTTTAACGTGAAGTTCTGTCTACCCTGTAGCAATGCCAGCACTCTGCCCCATTTCTCTCTCGGAAAACTAACAATTTCTGGCCTCTAATTCCACTTTTTCCAGGAAGCCTACCAGGACAATCCCCCCAGCCCAACCCCAGGCAACTCTCCTTTAAGTTCTCTGCAATTCCTCAATCCCAGCACTCACCACACCAGGCTGTACACCTGTCCGCTCATCTTCACCCTCCTCTAAACTCTAAGTCCAAGATGGCAGAGCTGGTATCTTGTGTTTAACGTCGGAGCCCTGAACCTGACAGCGCCGGGTGCAGAGCAGACACTCAATAAATGTGTGCTCAGAGAACGAACTGTTCTAGTCGACATCCTTGTGGGCTACCCTCTCTTGACAAAGTTTCCTGACAGCGCCTGCCTTGTGTTTCATATATATATGCAAGTGTCTTCCCCAGGCAAGGTATTAGGCGTACAATTTTTGGACGAGTTCAAGACTTTACTTACTAGCCAGACCTCAAGTATTAGAAGAGACAGGCACATTCTGCTCGATCCCTGATAAACCTGACTGCCCATGAATGTCTAAAAATCATAGAATGGCTGCTAACTCATAAAAGCTGTAAAAGAAAGGGGCTTAAAAGCTTAAGTCTCTGTTTTAATCAAATACCTTTATAGTGCAAATATAATAAATTCACATGCATTTTACTTTTACATACTCATAACAGGAGAACGACATAAACCGAAGTGGCACTGTTTTCCCAAGTGACTTTTCATTTTCGCCAAACCTACAAAAGCGCTTATGGAGACGGACACTTCTGGCAAAGCTGGACTGCGTGGCATCGCTGCTGTAGTGTCCAACACCGGACAGACGAACTCAAGCTGTAGAAGCAGTAGCCCGATCAGCCACCCTGCTCTTCTGGGGAAGGAGCCAGCGGCACGCAACCTGCCCCTCCCCCCCATCCCATACTCCGATGCTACACTTCTTGGGGGATGAAGGACTGAATACACTGTTTGCTTGCATCACACAAGTAAAGACTTTCACAGAGGAAACCTATCATAGAAATGGTGGGGGTTTTTTTGTTTTTGTTTTTGCTTTTTAAGGAGACTGCAATAGAAATATATTAACGATTGGCTTCAAATATCCAACATTTCTCTTACATTTTAAATCAAAGTTGTAGGATCCTACAGATCTTAATAAAGAAGTCTCTTCACAGCACAGCTGTAGTTCACTTTAAAACGCAAAATGTTCCCTTTGCGCTATATCCTTACAAATAAACGTAATATACATATAAATGAAAAGTTCAGATCCTGCATCAAGCATTACTTAATCTTGCTCTCTGATATAAACTTGGATACAGTCAAAATTTGCAAAGTGTTCACTTAATATTTTAGTTGAAGCAAAAGTAAAACAGGTAAGGGCTTTCAGCAAAGCAGACCTTTATGAATTCTCAGAGGTTCAGCTGAAGTCACGATTGGTGAGGACGAGTGGAGCCACAAGGGTCCAGACATAGAGGAGGAGGCAGACCCAGCTGGAGCTGATCTTGACCCACACAGCTGGCCACTTGCTGGTCATGCTCTGGAACTCTGCATCAGGGCTAAGTAAGCAGAAGATGGTCAGGTAAGAGCCTGTTGGCAGCATCCAGTAGCACCCCGCAGCGAAAGCAAAGAAAGTTGGCTAACACTACACTCTAGTAAGGTTCTAGAAGGAACTTATGAAAGCTGCTATTATTAGTTTTCATGTGCAGGGGATTCTGCCTCTCAAAAAGCTTTTATCTTACCAGCACGAAGAACTCTTTGCTGAGCAAAGCTCTTCAGGAATACCTAGCTGTTCTAGGTATTGGCAAAAGTCTAGATTGAAATGACGTCCCTGAAACTTTCCTTATCACATCATTACTGTGACCAGAATACTCCATATGGCCATCTCTAGACACAAGGGAAAATTCGTGAACAAAAATGGGTCAGACTGCTTTATGTTACGATTTTCTCTCTTAAGTAACTCAAGTCTAGAAGAATTCTCCATGATTCGTACTCTAAGAATTTCAACTAGGGACCCCTGGGTGGCTCAGTCAGTTAAGCATCTGCCTTCAGCTCAGGTCATGATCTCAGGGTCTTGGAGTCAAGTCCCGCACTGGGCTCCTTGCTCAGCGGGGAGCCTGCTTCCCCTGCTTGTTCTCCCTCTCCTCTGGCAAATAAATAAGTAACATGAATTCCAACTGGATTTTAAATCCAAAAGGAGAGAAAGTCAAAAGTATTTCAGAAAAGAGTCCGCACTGAACACAACTTCACTCTATGGGTAAATGAAGGGGATTCTGAGGTCAAGCAATGGAGGTAAATTTTACAGGCAGCCCACGGGGGGCGGGGTGTCAAGTGGTCTTCCATCTGGTTTGTCCATGCCTCCTACCTGTACCAGCTGGTCAGGGTCATCATGATGTACAAGGAAGCCAGGCAGAGCATGAAGTGGAATAAGAAGTAGCTGTACTGCACTCCTTCCTTCTCGTTGTCCACAACCCGCCGAGGCTGTCCGTCTTCTTCATCGCTGCCGCCACTGACAGCTGTATCACGGAGGATCACGCTGTCACTTCCTGACAAAGTCAGCTTGCTTACTTGGCTGTTGTTGGAAGTACGGATGCTGGAAAGTGATCCGAGAGAAGATGGATCAGCAAGGGGCCATGAGATGAATCGCTACTATTGGCCTATATACATGCAGGTTGTTTCTGAACTGCCCCTATCTGGGGACTGAAGGCCTTCTGAAGGGCTCTGCTTAAAGTTCTCAACTGTTGCTTGTCATCACAAGACAGAGAGCACTCTCATCAGTTACCATTTAATGGCTAACTGCTTAGGAGTTTCATCGTGCTCTCCATGTCTGCTTCCGTGACTTCACAAGTCTCTTCTATGCTTGGAATGGACCACCCACCAGCCTCCTCCCAGTGAGCCTCATTCTTCAATTCTCTATGTGCTATGTCTTCTAGAAAGCCTTCCCTGGCATCGAGTCATCACTACACTGGGTTAAAGTCCCACAGTTCCTTCTGCTCCCCTCTGCCATACTTAGCATTCCTGTCTTTCTTGCTAGTCCTAGAGCTCAACAATGACCGTAGTCATCTATGCATTTCTAGCACATGGCAGATGCTCACTGCAAGTTAAAATGACTGAATAAAGGAAGTACATACAACTAAAGAACCACATAATCATCTCAACAGACACAGAAAAATCACCTGACCAAAATCTAATACCTTTTCCTGATAAAAACACTCGACCTAGGAACAGAAGAGAACCTCTTCAAACTGATAAAGGGCATCTACGAAAAACCCACAGGTGACATCACATTTAATAATGAAAGACTAGGGCGCCTGGGTGGCTCAGCAGGTTAAAGCCTTTGCTTTCAGCTCAGGTCATGATCCCAGGGTCCTGGGATCGAGCCCCCGCATCAGGCTCTCTGCTCAGTGGGGAGCCTGCTTTCCCTTCTCTCTCTCTGCCTGCCTCTCTGCCTACTTGTGATCTCTCTGTCAAATAAATAAATAAAATATTTTTTTAAAATAGTGAAAGACTAAAAGCTTTCCCCCTGAGATCAAGAATAAGACAAATAGCCCACTGTCACCATTTCTACTCAATATTGTACTGGAGGTTCAAGGCAGAGCAATTAGGCAAGGAAAAGAAAAAAGACATCCAGGGTGCCTGGGTGGCTCAGTGGGTTAAGCCGCTGCCTTCGGCTCAGGTCATGATCTCGGGGTCCTGGGATCGAGTCCCGCATCGGGCTCTCTGCTCAGCAGGGAGCCTGCTTCCCTCTCTCTCTCTGCCTGCCTCTCTGTCTACTTGTGAACTCTGTCAAATAAATAAATAAAATCTTTAAAAAAAAAAAAGAAAAAAGAAAAAAGAAAAAAGACATCCAGATTGGAAAAGACATAAAATGATCTCTATTTGCAAATAACCAGACTTATACATGGAAAATCTTAAGGAATATACACACTATTAGAATCAATAAATGATCTTCCAGAATACAAGATCAATATACAAAAATTCCACGTCTATATGGTAACAATGCAAAACCTAAAAGATAAATTAAGAAAACAATCTCACTTATAACTATCAAAAACAACACTTAGAAATTTAACAAGACATGTCTGAGACTTGTACACTAGTAACTACATTACCACTGAAGGAAACTGAAGACCAAATGAAACATCCCATGTTATGAACTAGCCTTAATAGTGTTGAGATAGTAATGCCCAAAAGATGAACAGATTCAATGCAATCCTTACCAAATCTCAATTAAACTGACAAGCAAAACCCAAAATTTACACAGAAATGCAAGGGACTTGGAATAACCATAACAATCTTGAAAAAGAACAAATCTCGATGCCTCATACTTTCTGATTTCAAACCTTACTACAAGGCCACCATAATCAAAACAGTGTGGTACTGGCATAGGGATACCTATACAGATCAATGACATGGAGTTAGGAGTCCAGAAATAAACCATTACATTTAGGTTCAACTGATTTTTGACAGGGATACCAGACAAAGCAATGGGGGAAAGAATATTCTTTTCAACAAAAGGTGCTGTGACAACTAGATATCCACACTACAACGGAATGGAGTTGTACCCATACTCCAAGCCGTATACAAAAAAATAAAAAGACAGCCCAATTTAAAAATAGGCAAAAGATTTAAATAGACATCACTTCAAGACACACAAATGGCTAACAAGCACATGAAAAGAATGCTCAACATCACCAGTCATGAGGAAAACCCAAATTACAACCATAATGAAATGCCACTTCATGTTCTCTAGAATGGCTACAATAAAAAAACAATTATGATCTAACGGTTAAGAGGTGATGAAACCAGCAGCCTCATATGTTGCTGGTGGGACTAGAAGATGATGTAGACACTTTGGAAAACACATTCACAGTTTTCAAAAGAGGTACCACATAGCCTAGCAATTCTACACTAGGTACAGATCCAAGAAAACTGAAAATGTACATCCACACAAAAAACCTGTACACAGGGACGCCTGGGTGGTTCAGTTGGTTGAACAACTGCCTTTGGCTCAGGTCATGATCCTGGACATCCAGGATCGAGTCCCACATTGGGCTCCCAGCTCCTTGGGGAGTCTGCTTCTCCCTCTGACCTTCTCCTCTCTCATGCTGTCTCTCACTCATTCTCTCTCAAATTAATAAATAAAATCTTAAAAAAAAAACAAAAAACCTGTACACAAATACTCACAGCAGCATTATTCATGATAGTTCTGCAGCGAAATCAACCCAAATGTCTATACACTGACAAAGGATAAACAAAATGTGGTATATATCGACAGCATGGAGCATCATTTCCAACAATGAAAAGGAATTAAGTACTGATATAACATGTATGAACCCTGAAAACATACTAAGTGAAAGAAGCCAGTCACAAGAGACCATATGTTTTACAATTCCACATATATGAAACACTCGAATAAACAAGAGACAAGCTTAGAGAGACAAGTTTCTGCCAGTGGCTGGAGTGGGAAGGCATAGGGAGGTGACTGCTAAGGAGACATGAGGTTTCTTTTTGGCAAAATAAAATCTTCTAAAATGGACTGTGGTGGTGGTTGCACGATCCTGTGAACAGACTAAATTACTACTGAACTGTACACCTTAAAAGGGTGATTTTATAGTATGGAAACTGTATCTCAAAAACAAAACAAAACACATTAGGCCAAACGCAAAACAAAGTCACAGACGATGTAAAAACACGTAAGCATAGCTGTATTGCAATACAACTCTATTTACAAGGCCTATAGTTTGCCAATCTTTCTTTTAAACACTCATTAAAGGGGCACCTGGGTGGCTCAGTGGGTTAAAGCCTCCGCCTTCAGCTCGGGTCATGATCCCAGGGTCCTGGGATCAAGCCCTGCATCAGGCTCTCTGCTCAGTGGGGAGCCTGCTTCCTCCTCTCTCTGCCTGCCTCTCTGCCTACTTGTGATCTCTGTCAAATAAATAAATAAAATCTTTAAAAAAAAAAGATAAATCTACACATACTGTGGAAAGCTGTCCAAATTATGACAAATTCATATTTGAGAATACTGTATATATATATATAGTACGTTCCTATTTTTAAAAAATTATTTATCAAGTGATATAAATAAAATTTATATATATATAACTGTAATATAAACTGTATATAACTGTAAATATATATATAACTGTAAATAAAATTATGTATAATTACACAAATACAAATTGATAAATAAGGTAGTTAAGTGTAAGCGAAGGAAAAAAGTATCAAATAATATGTACCAAAATGCTTAACCATGGAAGAGGTAAATTTGGAGGGAGGCTACTTTCTTTTTTTTTTTTTTTTTCTTTTTCTTTTTATTTATTTATTTATTTATTTGGGAGGCTACTTTCAATTCCCACTTCAGACTTATCTCAATTATTAATTTATATAAATATATGCTCGCCCTTGTCCATTTTTATCTCATATTTTTAAATTATTCAAGGAATATGTGCCATTATATAGAAAATATCAATAAAAAATGGGTAACAGGGTTAATGCAAAGTGCTAACACAGGTTCTATCTGAGGCCCTGGATTAACTAGAGATTTTAAAGTTAGATGTATAGAATTCTGCAGTTTTCTAAGTATTTTTTACAATGATGAGGAAATTAAGACCTTCTTACAAAAAAAGAGAAACCAACCAATTTTCAGAGTCACTACTCTAGCCGATGTGGGGTCAGGTGAAGACTTTATCCTATCCAGGGAGATGGTATCTCTATGTCAGTTTGGAAGGAAGTATTTGATGAGAACATTTATTAGGCTTTAAGAAATATGTATGACTTGGGACATGAAGCAAGTCGGGGGCTTTCACCAAAAAGGAGTTAAGGGGCGCCTGGGTGGTTCAGTGGGTTAAAGCCTCTGCCTTCAGCTCGGGTCATGATCTCGGGGTCCTGGGATCGAGCCCCTTATTGGGCTCTCTGCTCAGCAGGAAGCCTGTTCCCCCCACCCCCCCGCCTGCCTCTCTGCCTACTCGTGATCTGTCAAATAAATAAATTAAAAATAAATCAATTAATTAATTAATAATAATAATAATGAGTTAAGTTCGTTTTCTCAATCCCTCACACTGCTTTCTGAAAGCAAAATAGATTCTTTGCTCTACGTTTAACCTTCATGAGAATCTTGTCCCAAGTACTTTTTAACTTACCTAGAATACAAAAGGCAGAGAACAAAGCCTGTCAGCCCAATGAACGTCTCTGCATCTACAAAATGCCCACTCTTTGCGGGTGGAGCAGGGGTAGGGACCACAGCAGTTGAATTCCCAGGAGCCAAGGTTGGCGCAGTCATGTGCGTGACGATGCTCCACAGGCCAGGGTTGCAGGAACGATCTGAAAGTGGGATATTTTTTACTGTCCTTAGTTAGAACTCCTCTTGTTCCGAGAAAGGATGTGAGGGAAGGGTTCACACATCATTCAGTCCTGATATAAAACATGGGGATGCCATACTTAGAAGAATCTGGAAACTCAGCAACTAGTTACACGTATTTGTGCTGCAATCAGTGACATAGTTTAAGGAAAAAACAAAAGACACACGACAACAAAGTACTTGCCAAATTCATGAATGTCAATCCTGATTTTACTGATCTTGAAGTTTAACTGGCAAATCTTTTTGGGTCTGTAGCTGTACAAAGGCTTTAACCATAGGGAAATTTTCCCTAGTTTTGTTTTTACAGTTAGAGAGTACAACAACAGTAAGTGAGTCATCGTTGGAGGATCTGGAATAACTGTTTTCCTTTAAAACAAGTCTGTAGAATACCATACTGAGTGAGACACAATGCAGTAATTATAAAGGGAAACTTCTTTCAGCCATTTCCTCTAGAGCCTGTAACACCAAAGTGAAATTCAATTACAACAATGCCACAAAGGGCCAAAACAATGTTGCCTTGTCCAATTCTTAACTAGTTTGACTTAGTCCAGGGAAAAGCCTAGACTGTATAAAGACTGCGGTCCTTTAGGCTGTCAGCTATGAAGAGCTATGGACAGACATGGAGAATAAAACTTGAAACGCGAGTATCTGCATCATATGATGAGCACCGTACATTTAAGCGAAGCCTTTTGTACGTTCTCCAATTTGCCATTTGTTCTAACTCCAGTGTTTGCACCTGCTGGAAGAGTGATTTCCTACTTTCTCTCAATCAAGTGCATGTACTACTGACATTCCCTTACCAGGTTCATTGGTCATGGCTGACCAGGTAAGGTACATGGTGTAGAGGGTGATGACAGAGGACTGCAGGAGACCAGACTGAGGCCTGTGTTCCTGTGGAATCAAAAAGAAAACAATGCCATGGGAACTGCAAGGCTGACTTTCTAAAACCCAGAGGACGTCCCTGGCCTCTCCCAACACCCCCCCCCCCACCGGCCCTGCCCCGAGATATGAACAACTGAGAACCTTCTGATTCTAATTGACAGCTGAAAGAGGATAAGTAATCTTTCAATCTGAGTTAACCTGAAAAAGAACCAAGAAAGAGGACTGTGTACTAGTGGTTCTTGAGGCATTTGACAGCCCTGGAATTCCCAAGTATCCCGCAGAGGCTGATTCACTTGTCCCTACTAGTTGTAGAAGCAAAGCTCCACAGCAGTGCTAACCAGCTGAGTGACCATCATCTCTCTGGAACTTCAGTTTTCTCATTTTTGAAAGGAGAGGTGTTCTACATTCTTTTCATATTTCTCATCTAAAACTTCATGAATTGGGGCACCGGGTGGCTCAGTCGTTAAGCATCTGTCTTTGGCTCAGGTCATGATCCCAGGGTCCTGGGATCAAGCCCCACATCAGGATCCCTGCTCAGCGGGGAGTCTGCTTCTCCCTTTCTCTCTGTCCCTCCCCCAGCTCATGCCCACTTGCACTCTCTCTCAAATAAATCTTTTTTTTTTTTTTAAGATTTTATTTATTTATTTGACAGACAAAGATCACAAGTAGGCAGAGAGGCAGACAGAGAGGGGGAAGCAGGCTCCCTGCTGAGCAGAGAGCCCAATGCGGGGCTCGATCCCAGGATGCTGGGATCATGATCTGAGCCGAAGGCAGAGGCTTTAACCCACTGAGCAACCCAGGTGCCTCTCAAATAAGTAAAGTCTTAAAAAAAAAAACCTCCATGAATTTTTTAAAGTATGGTATTTAAATGATGAAACTCACATGCATGAGTTTTGTTTTTTATATTAAAAGCAATGATTTTTTTTTTTAAGCAGTGATTTTCTAATTTAATCCCCCTAAAACAGCTTAGCTCATGATTCGTAAGAATCATTCTCCTAATATAAACTATTTTATAAGAGCTATAAAATTCTCAGGTTACCTAGGGTTTTGTTTGTTTTTTTTAATGATAGGGAAATTATTCACTTAATCATGATATAGGTGCTCAATGGCACATTTTACAGTTAATAAATTAGAATTATGAAGAACTTATAATATGGGAAAATGTTTAAGTGGATAAACATAAACTCACATAAAAGATTACATCAGCTTAAGTCTGGCAATAATTAAAAATTTTTCACAGGAGGATGTGGCTCAGTTGGTTAAGCGTCTGCCTTCAGCTCAGGTCATGATCCCAGGGTCCTGGGATCGAGTCCCACATCGGGCTCCCTGCTCAGCGGGGAGTCTGTTTCTCCATCTGCCTCTGCACCTCTCCCTTGCTGTACTCTCTCTCTCTTATGTTCTCTCTCAAATGAACAAATACTAAAAAGAAATTTTTTTTTCACGGAGGATAAAGCAGAAAACGATACCTGAATTTTTGGATGGATCGATATAATAGAAACCACAAAGCAAAGGATCAAATTAATACTGATGAAGAACTTGTTCTCTGCGCAGCCGTCCGGTCTGGTGTAGTAAGTGTACAGTAAGCCGGCAAAGACGACGGACAGAATGTAGCAGATGCTGGTGACAGATAGCAAAGCTGGAAGGAGGGAAACCCACAGGAATGCTCACAACTGTAACACACTTTTCAAATGAAGACCAATTTGCTTCTACTCCATATAAAAATAGAGACATTATTTTACTGTTACGGTGGTCAACATTTTACAGGGAAATTACAGAAGACCCAAGGATGACATTTTAGACAGCGCTAGAGGTGGCCTGGTGCTCAATTCAAGCAAGTGGACTTACTTTCTGGATTATCTACCTTGATTCCATGGGCTGAAAAACAAGCTAGAGTAAATTCGGCTAAATAATGTGCATTATAAGCTTTTCTTAGGAACTTGCAAAACTTGTAGGCCCTCAAACTGGCCCAGTTCCAGCAAGCTAAATGTGAGGGATGGTGTCAGCAGAAAACGACAGCCATCTTTTGTGTCATTAGTCTTCTGCAGCCACGGGCTACATAAGCCCGCTTCCTGTCCCGATGAGACCACCTCACTGTGGGAGAGTGGCGTATTTGCTATTTTCAAAAATAATATTCCTTTCTGTTCACATGGAGAGGCAACAATTAGCTATGTAACTCTGAAGATGAGAAAACATGGAAGAGTAACAGTATACTCAGACCAACTGTAGCAATGATGAGCTCGATTAACCTGTACTTAATTCAAGGCACAATTTTAAGAAAACCAGTTTCTACTTATAACCTCCATGGTTGCATATTTAAAATTAAATGATGTATATGATGTTGGTATACAATGGTATTGTATGTCAAAGTACTAGTACAGTTCTTAATGTTTTTCCATATGAATATGCAAGATTTCTCTACTTTTTAGTTATTTCAAAGGAGGACAAATCTGCAACTCATTATTAAATTCTTCTAAAGTTGAATGATTCAAGTGAATTATAAAAAAGGAAATAAACAGATTAAAAAAATAAATTTTTATGAGTCAGAAATGGGGAGGTGTTTCAGGATTTCCAACTTGTCACAATAAAACAATTTCTTAAATCTCATGCTAAAATAAAGAGTCATTATACATAACTGAAGTGACCAACAAAATAGGGCAATGGTTAAATAACTTAGGGTATACCACACCATGGAACCCCATGAAACTGTATACCATTAAGTGAGTTAACATGTATCTGTACTCACAGATATGTTAGAAAATACTCATATAGTTGATGAGAAGAGCGAGTGATGGAACAATGTATTATATGAACCTATTTACATCTAAGTAACAAAAACATGCTTATGTGCATAAATTATACATAAAGATCCAGTAATCATGGTTACATCTGGAGAGGAAGGTGGGTTGCAAGTGGGTGGAAATCTGCATGTTTTATTTTTTATTATTTTTAATCTGTGTTTATGGTGAACACAGTATTCACTTTTGGGGTTTTTTTGGCTTTGCTTTTGTTATTTTTTATTTTTTTAGTTTTTAATTTTTTTTTTTTGCATTAGTTATTTTTTAAAAAGCAAGCTAGATAAATAACAAAAAAAGAAAACCAGACAGTTTGATAATGTGTACTAAAAGCCTTTAAAATATCCATACCCTTCCACTCTTCTACTTTTAGGAATTTATTCTAAGGGAAAAAGCAGAAATGTGCTCAGAGACGTATTATTAGGTATTTACTGCCACATATTCACAGGCTCCTTCTAGGTTTTAAAAAAAGTCAAACTATAACCTATCCAAATGTATAACACATATAAAAAATTAATAAGATAAAGTATTCAGGGGCGCCTGGGTGGCTCAGTGGGTTAAGCCTCTGCCTTCAGCTCAGGTCATGATCTCAGAGTCCTGGGATTGAGCCCAGGCCCGGGCTCTCTGCTTGGCAGGGAGCCTGCATCCCCCCCTTCCCCGCCTACTTGTGATCTCTGTCAAATAAATAAATAAATATCTTAAAAGAAAAAAAAAAGATACAAGTATACATCTTCTTCAATGACTTTCTTCTATACATAGAAGATACATATGCAAGAGAAAAGACTGGAAAGATACAGACTAGTATGTTAACAGTAAGTATTAATTACCACAGAGTTGGGTAACAGGGAATTTGTTTTCTTCTGTGACTTTTGGCCGTTCAAGTTCTTGACACAAGAGGAGCTATCACGTTTAAAATGCGTGGGGTACAGGGGCTAGGAATTTCAACAACTATTGCTTTTTTTAAATGAAATATGGCTGGGTCATCGCCCCTAATAAGTACAGGATTCCAAATTCCCTCCCCATTATTACCAGCTATAAAACCTGTATTTCCACCCTAGAAATGTTAAGTGCCCCTTTTCCACCAGAAAGCTTTTATAAGGAGTGTGGGCCATACTCTGAAGAAAGCAGTAAGGACTGTTCACTTCTATCTGCTTGAGGGAGGTGGGCAGATGTCCTGAATGTATAATGCACCTGAGTTCCCTGTCCGTGGAAACACAGAAATCAAAACCAGAACTACATCACTAACACATTTTTCTCTTATCTGAACACATTTAGTTATGTTACAAATCGCAAAATAAATGAATTGAGAGAAGCCAATGATTTCTACAATCTGTGCTTCCCCCTTCTGGTAATGCATCTAATTCAGAATTGACTCAACTGGGAGACTACAGTTTTTAGAAAGCTCTAATTTGGAAGTTTACACACTTAAATCAATGGAGATGTTTACTGTATATCCTGCTTAAGATAGCATAATGCAGTATGGCTTTTACAGGTGAGTTCAGATACCTACCAGCATACCAGCACCTTGGATTTCCTTCTTCCATTCGATTTACCCATGACTCATTGCAAGAGTGAGCGAAGTCAACCAGAAGCACTAGCTGGATGAGGATGAACAAAAAGGCCCCGGCCATGCCCACAATGAACCAAGCTAGAACCCAAAAGAACAAAGTTATTTTTACCATAGGAGTAACATTTCAGATGTTATTACCCAATTTTAAAACAATTTCCATTCAATTAAGAGAGAGGTGGTAAAGACATATTTTGTCTCCAGCAGTACAGCAACATTATTCCAAACTCAAAGGCATTCTCTGAGAAGTCTGGTTGGGCTTCAGACCTTTTAAAGCTTGTTTACCTTGTGCCCAGGGTAGCCTGGGAGCTGACATTCCAAATGGTACAATAAGCCTTTCCCCCCACAAGGGAATAAAAAAATTACAGTGGAAATCCACAAATGTCACTTGATATTATGATAAAAAATGTGTATTAAGACAGGGATAGTAGAACACATATGAGTTACAGGTCCCCATGTTGACAAGCTCTCGGATTAACTTAGTACTGCCAAGTGAGGAGGTAAACTATTAAAATATTGGCAACATATGGTTCCAAAACAGCTAAAAAAAAAAATGGGCTGAATGCCTCCTGGGTTTAATCAAGTAATTACTCCCTTAATATTAGTATGAAGTCATATAATTGAACACCACCTCATTTAATTGCCAGTTCTGCAAAACCAGTAAAGAAATTGTAGCTTCAACACCATCATTTGTAGACTGTGTGTATATAATTAGCCTTCTTAGTAGTGAGCCGTACCTGTGGTGAAATGGCCCCCAGGGATGTAGAAAGAGCCAACCATGATACCAACAATGGCAGCAATTTTGAAGAACCAAAACCTATTAAAATATAAAAGTACATTTATGAAATGTTAATTTTTGCCCTTATACTGAGAAAAGTTAATTTCCGAAATGCAAAAATAAGGACTCAGTAGCATTCCCACCATGACTATCTGGGCTTATTTCTTCATTTGACATGAAACTGCTCCACTCAATCTTTCATACAATTTAAGGACAAATATTAGCCCAAAGAACAAATAATTCATAGACATAATAAGAGAAAAACATATTAACTTAGGAATTTCCCTACATTTAGCGATTAAAGATAGGAATTTTTCTACAATTCTGGAGTATTCTAAACGAACAATGTTAGCTACATATACAGCAATTAACTATTGGATCTAGGGATAAGTTATCACCTAATCCTTCTTTCTCAACATAGAACAAAGTGCCTTGTGCCCACAATCACACAGTTCCTCACTGGCGAAGCTAGGACCAAACCTGGCTTTCAGTCCATGATCTTTTTTTTTTTTATTTTTTTTTTTTTCAATTAACATAGTATTATTAGCCCCAGGGGTACAGGTCTGTGAATCACCAGGTTTACACACTTCACAGCACTCACCATAGCACATACCTTCCCCACAGCACATACCTTTCCTCTTTTTTTTTTTTTAAGATTTTTATTTATTTATTTGACAGAGATCACAAGCAGACAGAGAGGCAGGCAAGAGAGTGGAGGAAGCAGGCTCTCCACTGAGCAGAGCCCCCAACCCCCCATGCGGAGCTTGATCCCAGGAACCTGGGATCAAGACCTGAGCCGAAGGCAGAGGCTTTAACCCACTGAGCCACCCAGACGCCCCTTTCAGTCCATGACCTTTAAAGACTGCCTTGTATGGCAGAGTGGAAAGAATCAGGTTTTGGAGCTGGACAAACCTGAATTTCAATCCCAACTCCAACTCTCACTAGCTCAGAGATCTCAGGCATTTTATTTGACCTTTCTCAAATTTAGCTACTGCATCTATAAAAAGAGGATTATAATATGTATAAAGTGTACAAAACTCCCTTCAGTCTTCAAGTAAGAATTATGTGTCAAAGGGGAACTGGGGGCAGTCAGGAATGGGAAACGAAAGATTTGTAAATCCATGGCCCAAATATATCTAGTTTATCTTTCTGTACACTGTTTAATAAATCAGATACATTTTTATCTTTTAACAATAAAAAGTATACATGTTTGTGTGTATGCAGTGCCTAGCACAATCCTTGAACTGTTTCACAGGTGTCTGATAAAGATCTAGGAACTTGAACCAAGGTATTTTAAAAAAGGACAAGGGCACCTGGGTGGCTCAGTGGGTTAAGCCTCTGCCTTCGGCTCAGGTCATGATCTCAGGGTCCTGGGATCGAGCCCTGCATTGGGCTCTCTGCTCAGCAGGGAACCTGCTTCCCCCGGCTCTCTGCCTGCCTCTCTGCCTACTTGTGATTTCTCTCTCTGTCAAATAAATAAATAAAATCTTAAAAAATAATAAAAATAAAAATAAAATTAAAAAAAAAGAATAAGACTCTCCTTTTCCCCTTCAGCCCCTCTGTGCTACAGAACTCCAACTGAAAATGACACTCGAACAACCTCCCATGTACAATGGGTCAGAAATCTATGTGAGGCACTGATTCAAATACTCTAACTGCTTCCATAAGGATGGCAACATTAACTGCTCAAGGGGAGGATCTACACCATAATCTAACAAGTAAATAATAAAATTAATGTACATACCCATTGTGTACAGCTGCTCTGGGATCTTTACTTGTTTTTACTTTTAACATGAGCAGAGAGAAGACAAAGAAAAAGATGGCCAAGGCAAAGTTGATCCGATACACAGCTTTATAACCGACCAGAACATCACAATCTTTATCCACTTTTCTATCAGCCACATTGATTTTAAATCCCCCTTCACAGAATCCAGGTATCTGGAAAAAGCAATTTCAGTGTTACGGGAATATCCACATTTAAATAAATATTATATCCCATCGTAAGAAAGCCTGAATTTATACAACTGACTACTTCAACAAGAGTGAGTCTGTCCTGAGGGACTTTTCTCTTTGCCTTCCAATTCACTTACAATCTTGTCACCAAAAAGTATTAACAATTTGCATTTTGCAAATAAAAATGAAGTGTTCTCGTCTTTGCTTTTCTTACTGATGTGGTTATTTGCCATTCTGCCATGAATTTTCATGCTACAACTGATTCCTTCCACAGGTGTAGGGCTAGTCTAGGTCAAATGTTTAAATCTGAAACATACATGGGAAGATAATATTTTCCTGCCATTCTTTGAATATCTTTCTCTCAGTTGTTAGAGAAGAACCTGAACATGTTCTTTCTGAGTACCCTCATTTTTGGAAAAGGACTAAAACTTTCATATTCTATGTCTTGACCATACCCAAAAGTAATGTCAAAACCGAACAATTACAACGAACTTGATTGAGATTTACAACGGTAAAGAAATAAGAATGTCAATCACAACTGAAACTGTGCAAAATACAAAAATAATACAAATAACCAGCACCTTAAGTCTACTGTTACTTCTACTTACCTTCTTCAGCTGTGATTCCATCCCTTCTGTCAGCATGATACAGGATACAGCAGCGCCCAGGAAGAGAATGAAAGCATAGATGAGGCGCGTCACTGTGGAATTCTTACTATTGGGGCAGCAGCTACACAGCAGACATGATGCACCGCTGCAAAGGCAGGGAACCTGTAAAAAGCACACCACAGCCATTTGAGACCTCTTTCAGGGGACTCCTTCATGTCATAAGGGTCACAGAGTAGAAGATGAGGCAAATCAGGCTTTGATGGCTTTAAATGAGAGAGTTGTGGCTGGAGGAAGTGGCTAAAAGCGTGGGTGCTGGGGGCGCTTGGGTAGCTCAGTCAATCAAGTGTCTGACTCTTGATCCTGGCTCAGGTCTTGATCTCACAGTCATGAGTTCAAGCCCCACAATGGGTATGGACCCTACTTTAAAAAAAAAAAGGATGGGTTTTGGAGTCAATATTATTTCTGTTATTCTAACTCAGCAAGTTACATAAGCTAAGCTAATTTCTCCATCTGCAAAATAGACTGAATAACAGAATCTTCCTCCCTCAGACACTGCTGTATGGAACAGTGCCTAAAACATACGAGGAGCCTGATAAATGTTACTTATACAGAGAGCATATTTTATTTAAAAACAACATAAAAATCTACCTCCACTTGCTATTTAAGTAATCCTAGTTACCAAATCTGGTATTATAGCACCAAGTAACACTACATGGAAACCCTTATATACAATGATAACAAGAGCCATTCAGCTCAATTTAAGAGTAATCTGGAGATTCCTCAAAAAATTTAGACACAGAATCCACCACTGGACCCAGCAACTCCTCTCCTAAACATACACCCAAAAGAACTGAAACAGGTATTCAAACAAAAGCTCATACATCAATGTTCAACGCAGCACTATTTATAGTTGCCAGAAGGCAGAAATAACCCAAATGCCCACCAAGTGACAAATGGATACACAAAATGTGATACAGCCATATACTGGAATATTACTCGGTCATGAAAATGAATGAAGTACTAATACATGGTACAACATGGGTCAACCTAGAAAACAACATGCTAAGTGAAAGAAACCAGACCCAAAGGTCACATGTTGTATTTCACTTATATGAAATACCCAGAATAAGTAAATTCAGAGGCAGAAACCATTAGCAGCTTCCAAAGGTTGGAGGAGGAGGGACATGGGATGGAGAGTGACTGCTTAATGAGAATCAGGCTTCTCTCTGGGGTGATGAAAATGTTCTGGAACTACACTGATGTGATGACATCAACAACAGCGTAACACTGTGAATGTCCTAAATGTCATTGAATTATACACTTAAAAATGGTTAATTTTACCTCAACTGAAAAAAACAAACAAACCTGGATATCTGGTGAGCATTTCAGATAATGGCATAATCTTGAGTCGTTTTATGTAGGCTTAATTAGGAAAGTGCTCAAATTGCTTTTAAAGATGACATTAAGTCAAATTACAAAGTCAGGTGAAGTCAGAATCATCAGCAAAAGCAGATGTAAGTAATGGGGGATGCTGGTCTCACAGTACGGTCCCAGTCTTTACTTTTTATAGATGGTACCTTGGGGGACTTCATCATGGTTCCGTGTGATTTGGAACAAGATGCTAAGGTCATCTTAGCTTCAAAGCCCAGTCTGCTCATCTGTAAAAATGGGCATAACACCACCTACCTGAACAGTTACTATACAAAGAATGAGCTAATGTCAGGAACAGACAACACCTGGCATGCTGCCTGGCATAGCAGGGGCTCAATATATCATGGTAGCCATCAACATCTGTAACCACAAGAGCCATCGGAAATTGATTATCCAGTTTCAGTCTTCGATTCTTAACTACAATCTGGACCAAAAGACCATAATAGAGGTCTATAGCTGGCTGCAGACAGAAACAGGTTTTACAGCCAAAAACAGTGACACTGGGGCGCCTGGGTGGCTCAGTGGGTTAAGCCTCTGCCTTCAGCTCAGGTCATGATCTCAGGGTCCTGGGACTGAGCCCCGCATCAGGCTGTCTGCTCGGTGGGGAGCCTGCTTCCCCTCTCTTTCTGCCTGCCTCTCTGCCTACTTGTGATCTCTGTGTGTCAGATAAATAAATAAAATCTTTAAAAAAAAAAAAAGCAATGACATTAATTGCTTTACATTTATTTTGTCTGCATTCTCATACTCTTAACTCTATTTATTTTCTGGCCTATCAAATAATCTCACAATAACTGCTTACTGTTTGTTATGGGTTGAACTGTGTCCTCTCCCCACCTCCCCACACACAAATTCATATGTTTAAGTCCTGATCCCAAGTACCCTAGAGTGTGACCTTATTTGGAAATAGAGTCATTGCAGATGTAATTAGCTAAAATGATGTTATACCGGAGAAGAGTAGGTACCTAATTAAATATGACTGGTGTCATAAAAAGGAGAAATTGGGTATAGACATGGCAGCACAGGGAGAACACCAAGTGAGGACCAAGGCAGAGATCTGCAAGCCAAGGAATATCAAACCACCAGGAACTGGGGAAGAAGCATGGAACAGATTCTGCCTCATCACGCTGAGGATGAGGGTGTCACCCTGCTGGCATCTTAATCTTGGACTTCCAGCCTCCAGAAACGGAGAGACAACACACTTCTGTTGCTTGAGCCACCACCCAGTTTGTGGCTTTTTTTTTTTTTTTTTTAATCTAGCCCTAGCAAATGAATATAGCCATTTATTTGTTTGTAAGTATCATGAAAATCTAAGTGCCTTTTGGAGGGACCACCTACTGTTTTATCTCTTGAGCCTGTACAGTAGCTACTTAATCTGAGGACCAGAGCTGTCCTACTATATGTTATGTCACTTCCCTATCTCAGTAAGTAACAACTCTATTATTCTTTCTGTTACTCAGGCCAAAAACCTTGTCACCCTTGACGTTTTCTCTTTTTCCAAAACTCTCATCCAAACTGTCAGCACATCAGCTTTATCCTCAAAATATATCCAGAATCTGGGGAACATATCTAGCTCAGTCGGTAGCACGCACATACAACTCTTGATCTCAGGGGCGTGAGTTCAAGCCCCAAGTCCGGTATAGAGCCTACATAATTTTGAAGATAATAAATAATAGTTAAGAATAAAATAAATAAATAATAAAAAATAAGTATCTCCAGAATGTGACCACTTTCTTAGCACCCTTAGCTATCGTGTTGGTCCAAACCACTACTATCATCTTTTAAGCTGGATTAAATGCAATGACTCCTGTCTCACTCCTGTAGCCACATGAGCAGAACCCAGAGGTGGTATAAAGATTGTTTTAAGGTGAAGACATTTGAGATTCAACAGATACAGGGGAAAAAAGTCTTCTTGGAGGTTTCCACATGTGACTAAAAGCTAGAACTTCTGGGATATGAGGGTGCCATAAATTCTCTCTCCAAGGGAGTTTTATGGCCATAAAGAAGAAAAAGACCTCTGCAACTACATAAACAAGTACTATCACCAACTTACTTATCTCCTCTTTGTTCTTCCTAACTAGAAGACCTTTTCTTCCTTTTTCCTTTTCCCTACTAAGGTATATAATAAGCCCTATTTTCTACCATCCCTTTGCGTTATTCATCACTGAATGATGAATAACATCCTGCCAGTATGTGTGTAGCACATGTACATAGCTCTTTTTTCTCTCGCTAAGATTATCACTTTAATTCACAGGCCACTAACCCAATAGAGGAATCGAGCAAAGTTTTTTCTCCTCTACACTGCTTTACCCTTTCTTTTCTTTTCTTTTTTTTTTTTACCCTTTCTTTTCTATAGTCTGTTCTCCAACAACCACCTTGTTAAAACACAGGTCAGATCACATCACTCTTCTTTTCTATAATGGATCCCCATATCTGTTAAGAGTAAAGGCCAAGAGGCGCCTGGGTGGCTCAGTGGGTTAAAGCCTTTGACTTAGGCTCGGGTCATGGTCCCAGGGTTCTGGAATTGAGCCCCACATCAGGCTCTCTGCTCAGCAGGGAGCCTGCTTCCCCCTCTCTCTCTGCCTGCCTCTCTGCCTACTTGTGATCTGTCAAATAAATAAATAAAATCTTAAAAAAAAAAAAAAGAGTAAAGGCCAATACAAATATGATTTGTGAGCCTACATGATTTGGCTCCCTGCTACCTTTCTGACTTCATTTCCTATTTTTCCTCCCCTCACTCATCCTATTCTCTGGTACACTGCACTCTTTGCTATTCCTGTTGAATAAAGGGGATTAAAAATATAGAAAAGCAACTTACAGATAGAAATGCTTTGATGGCATGAATATAAATATTAGCGTTACATCAAAGGCAAAATGTGTTTCAGGTTATCACAGTAAGAAAGACCACTTTGTTTCAACTTACAAATTCACTCCTTAATTACCTTAACTGTATACTTTTTCCTAAATCTACTTTGCAAATAGTTTGACTTACTGCTGGACTGTAAAATTCAACTTACCTGGATTTGTTCTAATGTGACAGAAAAATTGTACAGCAGATGATAAAGGTAAAAATTATTTCATGAAACTTGTGTGTAAATGGGCATATTAAATCAGCTATGTAAAACTTATTTCTTACTTTGGGTCAAGGTCAAAAAATTGGAAAGCCACTGCTCTCAAGGAACCTGTAAATGACCAAATACCCTTTTGACTTAGGATCAACAACCTTAAAGAATGGAAAATACACTTTGTACTTTGTCCCTAAGAAATGGTAATGGAATGAGCTGAGATTGAGTCCTTGGTCAATTAAATCGTTGGAAAGTTATGAGACAAGAAGTGATTTAAAGAATCGTGCTCCTCAGGAGAAACTACATGAGGGAACTCACCATATTCTCTTCCACAGATCCTAAAATTTCCTTTTTAAAGTAAGGCATTTACAATCTACAAAGCGATTCCACCCATTTATTCACTTTATCCTCACAGCAGCTCTCAAGAGGAGGAATGCTGGGGTTATTAGCTTCATGTCACGGGAAGCCAGAGATAAATGCCTTGGACAAGTCCCAAAATGTTCACGCCATGGCTTCCAATTTTAAATAATAATCCACAAGGCCTTCTTTCCTTTGCACCAAAACTGCACACAAGCCTGGGTTAAAATCCCAAATCTCCCACATAGTCTCTAGCAAAGGCAAATCCATGCTCCGGGATAAAAATATCACTTAAGCCGCCCCAAAATTAAACGACGCCACCTTATGTGGGTACTTCGAAACGAAGCAGAGCGCCCGCGCCCCGGAACTCTCATTCCGCGGTCCGGGTTCCAGCTCCAGAGGAACCCAGAGGCCGGAAGCCTCGCGGGGGCGGGGCAATCGAAATTGTAAACAATGACGGCCTGGCCTCCGACGTCCCCCCCAAACCCGGAAGGCGAGCCGCCCGATCCCGATGCGGGGGGGGCCGGGGGCATCACGGATTTTGGTCTGCGCCTGGGATACTCTCTGCAGCCCAGGACCCGTCCCCCCAAGCTCCCGGCCAAGGCCCGATCGCGTCTGGGCTTGGGTCTCCCTATCGCCCTCCCCCAAACGACACGTCCGACGGAGACACCAGACCCCGAACCCACCCAGCTGGCGAGGGAGAAGACGCCCAGCACAGCCCCCATGGTGACGCTGGTGATGCAGGCGGCCGGTCGGAAGGCTTCTAGCGCGGTGGTAACTGCCAGACGGGCGTCTCCTCAGAAACGCGACGTTTTTCTCAGGCCGGAAACGCGCGGGTGGCGTCATTGCGTGGCCCCGCCCACCGCCCTAGGCCGCCGCTGCCAGGAAAGCCTCTGTTATTGGCAAAGGTAGAAGGCGGGGCTAAATCAGCAACAGGACGAGGGAGAAGGTGGGGCTAAATCGACCAGACGCCTAGGAGGAGGCGGGGCTAAACCCGCCAGGAGGGGCGGGAGGAGGCGGGGCTAGAATAGCCTGGCGCGGACGGAGGAGGCGGGGCTAACCGACTCGCGGGGAGGTGGGAGATGGGGCGAAAGCAATCCAGAGCTGCGGAGCTGCGAAGGCTTTATTCCTTCACCTCACCTGTATTCCCTTGGCAGCTCGTTATGTGTGGACATCTGACGTACAGAAGTGCTCAGGAATTTACGGCCTACTTGAAAAAAGAGTCTGACAGTGAACACACATGCACTACGACACATTGTGATGAGTACCAGGAAGTAGTATGAGGGACCACCCTTTAAATAAAAGTTTATTTAATGAAAAAAAAAAAAGTTTATTTAATGCTTACTGTGTGAGGGAAAAGTAATGTCGCTGGGGGGCGGGGGGCAACCCCGGAGGGGTGGGGTTTGTTTTTTTTTTTAATATTTTATATCATTTATTTGGTAGAGACGTGAGAGAGGGAACACAAGCAGGGCGAGTGGGAGAGGGAGAAGCAGGTCCCCCGAGGAGCAGGGAGCCCGCCCGATCCCAGGACTCTGGGATCATGACCTGTGGGGAAGGCAAACGCTTAAGGACTGAGCCATCCAGGCGCCCCCCTGGAGGGGAGTTCTGGGAATTTATATTTAGTCTGAAAACCAAAAGATGAGTCCAAGCTAATCGGGGAAGGATGGGCGTTGTTTCTGAAAATGAGGGGTATACATGCCACTCGGGGTACATGAACACATTAGCTAGCACCCATGGGCAGAGTCAGGAAGTCCTGTTTCAAACCAAAGAGAGTTTGAGACTAGGACTTAACATACTTCTAACATTTGCTTATCTCCATTTTTGACAGAGCGAAGGCTTCGTTTTCCAAATCTCTCCAAAAGGTAAGCCCATCCACAGTTAAATAGCATTTTTTGTTTTAGGGTTTGTGTGTGTACTTGCAGAAATTCTTTGATTTCTCCCAAGAAGTGTTACTGAACCCCAGGTTGGCTTCCCGTGGCTCCAAAGGCCCGTACTCAAGAGAGTTTTGCTTGGAAAGGAGTAAGAGCTTTATTCAGGAGTCTGGCCACCTGGAGACAAGGCACAGTCTTGTCCAAAGGCCAATTCCGAGGTTTCTGCCTGTACCAGGGACTTATAAAAGGGTTTAGGGCAGTTAATCAGTAAAGGGAGTGCAGTGGCCCCAACATTTCTTGATTACGTGCAGACTCAATGATGCCGGGTTGCAAACGTTATCGCAGTGCTGGGAGGTTGTGCAAGGGGGTTCTGGTTCCTTAGTTCCCGGGGTTTGTGCAAGAGGGTCTGGTTTCTGTTTTGTAAGTGAGGTGCAGATGTACTCTGTTCTTTCTAGGAAAGAATGCACGATCTATAGATACACAAAAAAGGGTTAGTTAATCAGTCATTCAGGCTTAGGGTGTGTGCTGAAGTTTATTTAGATTACTGGGGTGGCTGGAGGGGCGGAGGCAGCTTTAGCAATGCTGGTCTTTCATTTAAGAAGTGATGGAAATTCAACTTGGTAAATTTAAGTAAAAAATGAGCCTCTACTTAAAGAAAAAGTTTTGAGATATATACATCAAAGTGCAGGTAGTATGCAGCTATGGCAACAATGATAAGAGTGTGATACAGATGACCTTTTAAGAAGGGAACATTTACCTGGGAATATAAAAACCTGTAGAGTTTGGAATCTTGGAATATTTAGGTTGGAAGAAGCCTGAGTAATATATTTGAATCTGTTTTTTTACAGAAATGGAAAAGGCTCAAAGTGCAATGGTTCACCCCAGGCAGAGGAAGGAGAATTACTCAAGCTTTCCTAATTCCCCCCTGAGCCTTTCACCTCACCACCCCCTCCCCCAACCCCTACCACCAAATACCTGCTCAAGTCAGGTTGCTTTGCAGTCACGGAAAGTAACCCTTCCAGGTAACTGTGGAGGCCAAGAAAATTAAGGCCATCCTACCTCAAGTTTAGCTGATGTGGGAAACAGAGGCAGAAGAAAATCATTAAAATTCCTTACATACTGACAAGCCCTTGAAACAGACAGAGTGGCTCTCCCCTGGGGACTTAACTGCCCTCACCTTGAGGTTTTGCTAAGGACAGTCCTAGCCTGACTGACCCCCTACCCCGACAGGTCCCACCAGGATCCTGTAAGTCTACCTTAGGAAACTTTATTTCTAAACCTCCAAGATAGTGTCAGCAATCATTCCCAAGCATATGGCCCACTGATATACATCTAAACGGTCTCACGGGAAGATTTTTACTACTGGTAATAAATAACCTTTCTCCCAACAATAGCTAGCCCCTCAAGGTCCTGGAGACCTTGCTTCCAAAAATCCTTGGGAGACTTACATCATCCATAATCCCCTTTGTCCTCACCCACCGCCAAGTCCACCCCTACTCTGCCTTTAAAAACTCTGACTGTAATCTGGTTCGGGGTCCAAATCCCTACTCCGCTGTGCCGGGTATACTTGGGCCCAAGCTTAAGCTTGTCAAATAAACCCTCATGTGATTGCCTCGGTGCTTGGCTCCTTGGTGGTCTCTCAGACACGAAATCTCGGGCATAACATTAACCCTTAAAATCCTTACGTCTTCCTGTTTGGATACTGCTGGACTGGGCTGAAGAAACCTAAGACTGTGATAGAGTCCACGATCAAATCCCATCAGGAACATAACCTGTACACAAAAAAGAATCAGATTTATTTAGCTTGTTGGGCAAGGGCAAGGGAGAATTCACATTAGAGGAAACATGAGGTATCTTCCTAAAAGGGAATTGGGAAGAGCTTATTGTAGGATTTGCGTTTGTGCAGGGTATCTGTAAGGAGGGTTTAAGCAAGTGGAAAACAGTTTTGAATTGGATACAGTCAAAAAGCAGGAGCAATTCAATGGGTAGGGATCCTACTGTTTTACCTAGGAGCTGGGAGGATTGAAGTGAGGCCAGAGTTAAGATTGAGAAGGAAGCAGGACACTCTCATGTTAGATGAGGAGGATGTTTTCATTATTTGTGGTTCCACAGTGGCCTTGTCCTTGCCTTGTTCCAACAGACTGGCCTTACCTGTTACTTGTTTATATTCTGTGAGCACTGTTTACGTTCAGTGAGGAATATTAGGTCTAGCTGGCAGTAGAAATTTCATTTTCCGGGGGCGCCTGGGTGGCTCAGTGGGTTAAAGCCTCTGCTTTTGGCTCAGGTCATGATCCCAGGGTCCTGGGATCAAGCCCCACACCCAGCGCTCTGCTTGGCAGGGAGCCTACTTCCCTTCCCCCTCTCTGCTGCCTCTCTGCCTACTTGTGATCTCTGTGTGTCAAATAACTAAATAAAATCTTAAAAAAAAAGTTTCATTTTCTGGTCTGCACCATTCTGTCAGTGGGACCCTGTCCATCTCTCGGTGTTTCTGACCCTAAATTGTTGAGTGTTCCTCCTCTAGGTGACAAAAGTGAGGAAAGTGGATCACCTCCAACTTCCCACATCATGCAGGAACCACATTTCCTCTAGGGTGTGACGCTCACTGCAAACCAAGGTAGCCCCTCCTATCTTTGCATGTTGATTGTCAAAATTAGGTTGTTTTTTTCCCTCTAAGAGGGAAATTTTTCCTCTACCCTCTAGCTTCAGAGATGGGGCTGAGTAGGCCTGGAGGCTTTTATACCTTTCTGACAAAGGATGATAAATTTTAAATTTGTAGAGAAGTGATAAGATAATGAAAAGGAGTTTAGGGTGTTAGGGAAGCGGACTGTGGGAAGGTAAATACACCCAGGAAACTAATGGGAGATAAGGATTGTTTTAGTACTACTATGGATTGTTATGTAGATTCCTCTCACTGATAAAAGTCTAAAGTTGGTTATCTCCTGTGATTAAATTCTGCTTTTCCTGGTGAAGAGGACGGGAACTACACCTTCATATATAGGAATTTATAGGAGTGAAGGCGAGAACTTTTCTGTGTCTACTTTAAAAATGCTTTCAGCTCAAAATAATCTTTATGCTAAAGTGGAATATTCTGATTTGTTACATTCATATATATTGTTTGAAAGGATAATACATGTACGTGGTTTTTAGAACTACTGCATAAAAGAACATACAGTGAAAATGTTTTATCTTACCCTCTCATCTCCCAGATCTCTTTCCAAAGTTCATATTGCCTATGCCAATCTTATATGTATTATGTCATTCCCTTTTTACATGTGGTAGCATTCTAACCACATAGTGGTGCATGATTGCTTTCTTTCCACTTAACTTTTTTCATTTATTCAATAAATATTTATCACGCTCTTACTATGTGCCAGGCAGTTCCCAGTGATGAGAAAGCAGCAGGGAACTGTTATGCCTGAGTTTTCGCGTCTGAGAGACCACCGAGGAGACAAGCACCGATGCAATCACACGAGGGTTTATTTGACAAGCTTAAGCTTGGGCCCAAGTATACCCGGCACAGCGGAGTAGTGGAGTTGGACCCCGAAACAGATTACAGCCAGAGTTTTTAAAGACAGAGTAGGGTTGGACTCCGCGGTGAGCGAGGACAAAGGGGATTATGGATGGTGTAAATCTCTAAGGACTTTCAGAAGCAAGGTCTCCAGGACCTTGAGGGGCTAGCTATTGTTGGGAGAAAGATTATTTATTACCAATAATAAAAATCCTCTAGTGAGACCCTTTAGATGCATATCAGTGGGCCATATACTTGGGAATGATTCTCGATACTACCTTGGAGGTTTAGAGATAAAGGAATTGTTAGGAATCCACCAGGATATGGGAATCCTGGTGGGACCTGTCGGGGTAGGGGGTCAGTCAGGCTAGGACTGTCCTTAGCAAAACCTCAAGGTGAGGGCAGTTAAGTCCCCAGGGGAGAGCCACTCTGTCTGT